CAATTTCCGAGGCCAACTCTTCAGACAGGGATTGGACTGGACTGTGGGATATAAAGTGATACTCGTGAGGAGTGTGCCTCTTAGCTTAAGTAGAAACAAGAGACTAAATGGGCAGCTTCTCTCTGGAGGTGAGCGGGGAAGGCAGAGACGATTAGGAACTGGTTGAATGGACATGGGGAATCAGGGGTGGAAAGGAAGAGTATGCTGTCACAGTATGAGGAGGGCAATCAGAGTCACATGACAATATATGTATAAATATTTTTATGGGGAAAAAAAAATGGCCCTCTGGGTAAGCTCAGCCAGGCTGAGGCCTCCAGATCCCCTGCCTGGTCGGTGGGAGTGGGAGACACTTAGCCATCTTGTGGGAAAAGTCTAGGAGCCAGCAGACCTGACACCCACTACTTTGTGGACTCAAATGAGTCCCTTGATCTCTCTGAGCACCCGTCTCATCAGTGAAATGAGGGTGGATAGGATTTATCCTGCTTCTCACCACAGTGAGGTCCTAACGTTACCTAGGGCCCCTATGGGTACACTACACCCTGATCCCACACACCAGGCTCCCAGCAGCAAGTGCCCCCTCCCTATATGTGGGAAAAAGGGAGGGAGGGGTCCACCAGTCAGACAGAGGGGTCAGGCTCAAGCTCCAGGTGAGACTATTAGAAAAATACACTCCTCCCCCTCCCTTAGCACTGGCTGTGTCCCTCCCCTGGTCCCAGCCATCGCTGTCCCTGCTCTGGGGACCTGGCCACGTGAAGCCAGAGTGAACAGAAGTCTACTGTCTCGGAGGCCCTGAGCCACTGTGCCAAGGATGCAGGGATGCAGGATTCAGAGATGCCCTATCATCTTGGGAGGCCCTGCCGGCTCAGCGCACCTCTGTTTTCTCCCACTGGACTGTGAGAATCTTGAGGACAGAACAGCGTCTTGTCCCCTCGGCTTCCCAGCACACGGCACAGGGCCTGCCACAGAGTGAGCATGTAGCAAATGTGTGCCAGAGCAATGAATGAATGTAGGGGCTGGGTGACCACAGTTCTTGTTCTCCAGGGTGATGTGGGTGGAGGGTCAGGCAGGAGGGTCTGCTCAGCTTGGCCTGGCGGGCTTCTAGAAACCAACTATCCTCCATCTATAGAACAGCCAAAGTGGGCTCCCTGGTGCACTGGGCCGTAAGGCACTGACCACACCAACTCAGGGGTCACAGCCCAGAGGGAGCCTCCTGCTGAGGCTCCAGCCCCACGCAGACACCACAGAGCAGAGATCCTCATCAGCATACTTTATTGTCATGAACATCAAGTACAAACAAATGGTACAGAAGGGCCAGTGGGCCCCAGTTCCTCTCCAGGCAGGCTCCTGTGGGTAGCAAGAGAGCAGGGTAAGCGAGGAAAAGGAGGCCAGGGACTGAGCCCAGCTCTCCTGGACCCCTAACTCAACCACCACTCAGACTAACTGCTATGGGTCATTCCCCAGGGGTCAGTTGTTCGCCTCTCATAGCCAGGACACAGTCAAGGTGTAAGCCGCAGGAGGGCACAAACGATGTCTTTCTCACCTCTGTATGTTTCCTGTGCTTAGCACAGTGCCTGGCACATAGTAGGGCTCAAGAAGAGAAAAACTACCCAGTTGTCATGGAGTCGATCCCAACTCATGGCGACCCCCTGTGTGTCAGAGTAGAACTGCTCCATAGGGTTTTCAGTGGCTGATTTTTCAGAAGCAGATCATCAGGCCTTTCTTCCAAGGCACCTCTGGGTAGACTCAAACCACCAAACTTTCAGTTAGCAGCCAAATACGTTAACCATTTGCACTACCCAGGGCCTCCTAAATGGAGAACTAGAGGATGCAAACAGGCCCTCTAAGCAGCCATAACAGCTGTTATTTACAAGAAAGAAAACCCAGGCTTAGCAAGGTTGAGTCACTTGCCCAAGGTCACACAGCCAGTAAGCCAAAGAGCCAGGATTTGAACCTAGGCAGTCTGGTGCCTGAGCTTGCACCCTTCACCATATATATGCTGCTTTCCATATATCTAATACTCACATAAACAGCAAGCACACACTTCCATAAACCATGCACATACACAGCACACAAAACACTACCATGTCACAGACAACACACATGTGAAATGCCAATTTATATACATCACACACACACTCACACACAAATGCATGTCTAATCACTCTTGGCTGACACCTAGAACAGGGATGAGCTCTGCCTTGCAGAAGGGAGATCTCTGTGGTCCTAACTGGCCAGCCCAGGCATGCTTACCCTGCACGCTGCATCCCCTTACCCAGCCCCTAGGCCTGCTCCCTCCAGGAGGCCAGGTCCAACACAGGGAGCGTACTGCAGTTGACAAAGTCCCGAGGGAACGTGTTAGACATGAAGATGTTGTTCTTGGACACCGTAGTGATGCCAGTGTTGTCACAGATGATGCGGGGCAGGGAGATCTTGGCCAGGGCCTGCCGCTGCTGCATGCTGAACACTCCATTGTTCTCCCACCAAAACCTGCACAGGGACACCGCGGGCATTGTGCCTGAGAACAGCCTGGGCTGGGTGGGTGCCAGCTGGCTTGAGTTGCTCCCTGGACGCAGGAGGGTCACAGACAGACACCCACCCACCCTGTCTACCAGGAGCCTTCAAACAAGTGGAACCCCACTCCCAGTGCAAAGCACAGCTGTCTCCTCCTTGTCCCCACCCCAGTGGTCTCCAGCACCACTAATGCTAGTGGCACATACTGGCTCACCAAGCCCTGTGCCCTGCCCGGGGCTGCATCCAGTGGAGCAGGGGTGGGGGAGAGACTCTTGGGTGTGATTTATAGTTTGTCCACTCAGAAAGGGACATCTTTTCCTAAGTTTCCCAAAGGCACAGTACAGGCTACGTGAGAACTAGACAGGACAGATGTCAGGATCATAATGAGATGATACTGGGGGGAGCTGTGGGAAAGCAACAGACCCATATGGTAGTTAAGGGTGGCATCATCTCAACCAGTAGCCCAGGTCCCTCCTTGCTGCAGCCCCAAAAGGTTCAGGGCACATTAGGGATATCCTTGGAATACACTGGGGAATCAGGGATTCCTTCCAGCCCCTTCATCTGACAGGAGGGAGGGTACTGGGGCCCTGAGAGGTTTGGGGATACGCCATGGACACACAGCAAGCCTGAGCCACCTCCTTACCTGTCACCATCCCGGAGCTTCCTGAACTGGGTCCCAATGAGGCAGGCGAGGAGTGGGCCCACACGGCCGTTGGGCTGCAGGGGCTCAGCCACGCCTCCCATCCAGATGTCAATGTTGTTGGGTGTGCCATACAGGTCCATCAGCTTCTGTGCCAGGGTCAGGTTCTTTAGCACGGTGCCCAGCTCACCCACTGTGTTGGGCTGCGGGAGCCCACAGAAGCGCCTCCAGGCATTGTACCCTGTATGAAGGGAGGGGAAGGGGGCTGTAGGTAGGTCCCTCTTCTGCAAGGTGGGAGGTCACTGGGAATAACTGGGGGAGATTCACATATATGTCATCAACTCAGAAAGCCCACCTTCCCAACACACTAAGGCCATGTATAGAGGTGCATGAGCAATGGGGGCACAGAGGAGCTTGTCCGAGCCTATAACCTCCTAAAGAACCCTGAACCCTCAGCTCAGGTCAAGGGCAGCAGGTGGGCCTCTCCAGGACCCTTTCTGTCTTGCCCTTGCCCTTCCACTCTAAGACAAACCCGAAATTGTCATAACTCCTGCCAGGTTCAAGAATAGGGACCTCCCATTGTCCCCCTCTGCAGCAGCCCAATAGATCTGTCTCCGACCTGAGAGGAATGAAGTGTGTCTAGAAGGCTCAGCCACACAGGCTGTCCCATAGGCAGCACAGGTTTTGGGATAAGGGCCATCTGGGTTTAATTCCCAGATCTGCAGCTGACTTGGTTGGGAGAACCTGGGAAGGTTCTGAATCCCTCCAATCCTCAGTTTCCTCATGAGCAAAATGGAGGTAATAATAATATCTTCCCAGAGTTCATGTAAAATGAAGCAAAAGGAAATTATGGAGACAGATTTTTCAGACTGTGATGGGGCTTGTTATTATCGCAATGCTCCAAGTTTGAGGATTACACAGCAATGCAAAGAAGGCTGGGAAGAGCTGAAAACTGACCCAGTGGGCCCAGGGAGAGGTAGGGGCCTGACCTCACATCACTTCCTGAGAGCATGGTGCTGGGGTGGGGGAAAAGCTTGGGGCAGCTGGGGGCACTGGGGAGGGCAGGTATCCTGGAATGGGAAGGGTAGCTAGGAGCCCAGCAGACAAGCTTTACCACCTCCCTCTTTCCCCAACTGTGCTGCCGCTGGGGGGTGGGGGGTGGGGGGGACTCCTACAGCCCCTCACCCGGGAGGCCGTGGTCCCGGCTGCGCTGCATGTTCAGAGCCGGCAGGTCCAGCCCAATCCTCATGACCTGCTTGAACAACCGATCCCGGAGCTCATCCACCACAATTGCATTCTGGCGATTCAGCTTGGCAGGGGTGGCCATAAGGCCCCGGAGGATGGGGTCAATGCCACCTGCGATCAAGAGGGGCAAGGTTGGGGAAGGACCTGGTTCAGTATCAGAACTCAGATCGGAGCAGGGACAAGTCCAGGGCTGTGTGGGGACTGGAGAAGAGGGCTGCACACATGCAGCTCCCGGTGCTGAGGAGGCCCCAGTGGGCAGGTCCTCACCAGCACCACACAAGCCCAGGGCATTGAGGAATCAGAGAATTAGGCCGTTCAGACTTGCAAGGTTGGGATGCCCCCAGCATCTGATCTCCCAGGTCACGGAGAATAACAACACACAGAAAGGAACCAACTCCCTGTAAGAGCCATCTACACACCCACCCTCAAAGAGGCTTTTATTATTAGACAAAAAAGCAGTCAGGTGAATGGAGATTGGAAAGTCAGAACAGATCCTGAAAAGTGGAAGGAAAGAGGATTTCTTCCCACTCTGGCTTCCTGCAGCCAATCCCACCCCACCCCACCCTACCCTCGGCTGCCAGTCCACTCGGGCCCAGGCTGGGCTCACCTTCCAGCACAACCCTCCAGGTGGCAAAAAAGACCTCACTAAGCGGGACACGGCTGATGAGCTGGTACCGATTGTCCAGGCGGAACATGAAGGGCTGGATGAGGGTGTGACCATAGCGGAAGGCATTGGTGAAGACGTTGGAGATGCGAGGGTCCACCGAGTCATTGTAGCGGACGTACTGGGGTAGGTATTTCCTCATGGCCTCTTGCCCCAGCACCAGGGGCAAGTAGTCCCGGTAAGTGATGATCTAAAGGAAAGACATTCAGAGTGGCCTCTCCACTCACCCCTCCCTGCAGAGTCTCCACCTCCTCCTGGCTGGCAGGATCCCTTCCATCTGTCCATGGCCAGGGAATTGCCTCCCACAGATCCTAGTCTAATAGAGTGGCACCACCTGACATAAGCAGAGCTCTACTGCTTGCTGTGTGACCATGGTTGTGTGGTCTTGGACCAGTTATTAACCTCTCTGAACACTAGTTCCTCAAATGTAAATTAAGGATAATTATACTGCCTATAGGAGCCCTAGTGGTGCAGTGGTTAAGAGCTCAGCTGCTAACCAAAAGTTCAGCAGTTTGAATCCACCAGTTGCTCATCAGAAACCCTATGGGGCAGTTCTGCTCTGTCCTATAGGGTCGCTGATTCAGAATTGACTCAGCGGCAATAGGTTTGGTTTATACTGCCCCTTGCCTTATTGTTGTTGTTGTGTGCCGTTTCCTAGGTTGTAATCTTTACGAGAAGGAGCCCTGGTGATGCAGTGGTTAAGCGCTCGGCTGCTAACCAAAAGGTTGGTGGTTCAAACCCACCAGCCACTCTGCAGAAGAAAGACTGGCAGTCAGCTTCCGTAAAGATTACAGCCTTAGAAACCCCATGGGGCAGTTCTGCTCTATCCTATAGAGTTGCTATAGTCAGAATCGACTCGACAGCTGTAGGTTTTGTTTTGGTTTTTGGTAATCTTTAGGGGAGTAGATCGCCAGGTCTTTTCCTCTTGCGATGTCGCTAGTGAGTTTGAACTGCCAACCTTTCGAGTAGTGCTTAACCGTTGTGCCACCAGAGCTCCTTCCTATCGCCTTAGAAGATTAAATAACAAAAGGCTTTGTTAGTCATTGCAATAGCTACCTTGCCCTTGAGTTATTAATATCTCATTTCTCCTATTATAAGTTCCTGGAGGGCTCACAATAGGGCTCAATATATGTTTGTGAAGGGGCGAGGAAGCAGGAAGGAACGATGGGTCACCCGCATTTGATTTACCCCAGTGAAAAGGGAAGATGTAGAACAGCATCACTGTAGATTCTGGACTCTAGAATTTTCTCTGAAGCTTAAATGAATCTCACTGAAGTTCTTAGAGCAAATCAAAAACTCACCCTTAGCACCTACAACTCTTTCTTCCTTCAGAGCCAAGGAATATTAAAAGGTGTGCATGTGTTTGTGTGTGTTTGTGTCTGGGGAGAAAGTGGAGGTGCCAAAGCATCAAAAGCAGAGAGAGTGAGCCAGGAGCACTGTCCAGGCATAAATGAGGCTAAAGCGGTTGAGGAGGCTCTGACAGAGCCAAAAAGAATAGGTGAGTGGGTGAAGGAGCCAACAGTGACTCCAAAATTGAGGAAAGGAGAAGCATTTACCGAACAGCTATGATGCAACAGGCACTTCAGACCCACTATTTAACCCACCCAACACCATTCCTGGGCCCACAGGAAAGAAGAAAAGGGAACAAGCCCAAGAAGAAGGGGAGGAAAGGAAAGTAACCTTTGTCAGGTACTACCTGCCAGGTGTTTTCATATGTGTCCTTTAAACCTTATAGCATCATGGATGAAGAAACTGAGGCTCAAGATGCTTAAGTAACTTGCCCAAGGTCACACAGCTAGGATGCTGCAGAGGCAGGTTTGGATTCCAAGTCTGTCTGACCCTCCCTCTCCCACTCCCACTTCACCGACACTCAGGACTGCCTACCTGGACCATGGCACCCACGATCTTCCGGGCTTCCTGGTAGAGCCGCTCTCCATTCCAGCAGGGATTCAGGAACTTGAGCTGTGTGGCCAGCCGGTTGTGCTCCCGCACAAGGAGGGTGTGCATGGAGGTGAGCTCGGGCATCTCACTTGAACGAGAGTCCCCTTGGGGAAGCAAAAGCCATTGTGATTCCTAAGACCTCTGTCCCAGAAAGGACTTGCTCCACTGAAACTCCCTCCCCAGCCAAGGCCTAAAGTGCCCTTTACCCACCCCTCATCTCTACCCATCTTCCGACGCCATTTTGCTCTAGGAGGCTGTCCCTGATGCCCCAGTCTGCCATAATAGCTTCTTCTGCTCAGCATCACTGCTGGTTGGAAATGCACATTTGACAGGCATCACATCTGACACATGACTTACCACCTTCCCATACCCAAGGATGGGAGATCCTGGAGCACAAGGACCATGGTTGGTGCCTTTTTGAATCTGAACTCCTTCCCAGCACACACATAGACACACAGGGTTTTACACAGTGAGTGCCCGGTGCAAAGTAGGAGATCCATGAACACTGTCTGGTTGACTGCAGGGAAGGCCAAAAAGTAGCATGCATATTGTCACTCCCTACTTCCACTCTCACATGAGACACAGCTAATGGATCACAGCACTTTCTCCTGCTAAAACTGGATGTCTGTCTGACCCTTCCTCTCAACACAGGACTTGAGAAAGCCACTGTCATGTAATCAGAGTTGCCATCTCTACCCTAACTACATGCTAATTGGTCAGCCTGCCCCGGGGGAGGGGGCTAGGGCCCAGGACTTTTGGAGTTCACACCTGAGGCCCTGTTCACCAGAACTGAGGGAGACCACTGATCCCTCTAGTCCTCCTCAGACCCTCCCCTGGAGGGACCAGAGGGCTAGGGCCAGGCCCACTTCGAAAGGACACTGGGTTCAGTCCTGACCAGCTCTAGAGGCTGGTGAAAAGGAAATTCTCTGACAGCAGCTTCTCTACCCCATGAACATCCAGAGGTCACGAGGATCCAGGCCTGGGATGTTCAGCTCTTCAACATCAGGCTGGAGGCAGACCAGTGGAAGTCATCCTTATCCCCGGAAGTTCACACTGGCGCTTTCCTTAATAATCCTCCCCACCTTGATCCTCTTCCCCTGGCTGAGGGGAAGGGTGGCCAGAAGGAGGAGGCTCTATTGGGTTTACATTTTAAAATATTGGAAAATTTCTGGGCATGACCACCATCGCCATCTCAACCACATCCTGGGGCTACCAGTTCTTTAAATTTAAAACCCCACCCTCTCTTATTAGGTTAATCAATATGGGCAGGAGGTGATATCAGAACTTTCTGCAATGAGGAAAACATTTTACATCTGCGCTGTCCAGTATGAAGCCACTAGCCATGTGAAGATATTGAGCACTTGAAATGTGGCTAGTGCAACTGAGGAACTGAATTTTATCATTTAATTTAAATTTAAACAGCGACATGGGGCTAGTGGCTACCCTATTGGATAGCGCAGTTCTAGAGGGTGATGGTGTCACATTGCTGTCTGTCCCTCTAGTTCCCTGCCCCTGAGGGACGCCTGTCTTCTCCTCCGGAGTGCAGAGGAGAAAACAAAGACAGAGAAAGGGGTAGACAGATGAACAGAGGCTCCGCAGCCATTGCTATGTCTCCATCTTGGGATTTTATCTTTATTTTTGGCCTTTCTGGCTCCATCCAACTTGTCACCAAGGTAACTGATTAATATTGTGAAGTTGGTGAGGATGGAGTCTCTTTAAATACAAAACCCACAAGCCTCTCACAGCAGGCTGGCTATGACTCCAGCAGGCACACCCCCTGAGACCCCCAAGGTCCTGCCCCAAGGCTGACCTGCCAGGAAGCAGGGGATGCGCACGGATCGGTTGGTGAGGAGGCAGGGGTCATCATGCAAGTTGTCGAAGGGCAGCAGGGCCCGGCCATTGTCCCTGAAGCGGTCATTGACTTTCAGCAGCCCCAGCTGATTGGTCAGGTTGCGCAGGTCCCTAGCCAAGGGATCCTCACTGCCATACACCATGCTGGCATCCACAAAGGAGGTGAGTGCGTTGATCTGGTTGCGGATGGTGATGTTGCTCCCGGGGCAGGCTGGGCAGGAACGGAAGAAGGGGATGCAGTCACGTTGGTTCTTGATTCGGGGGTCATTGGGTGGGATCTGCAGCAGAGAGAGAGGCCAGGCTGCTTACTGAGGGCCAGAACAGTGGCAGGGGTGGCTCTGCCCCTGCCCATCCTCCTGAGGGCCTTGATCTCACATAGGAAACAGCCATGGAGCCCAGAACCAGAGAGGGAGACTCAGACACCAAAGCAGGGGTCCCCCAGGACCTCTAGCCCCCTCAACCTGTCGGAAGGCCTCTCCTAGGCCCCCACATGATCACTGCCTGGGGCTCCACCAGCAGGGTGCATCTGAGCTTCAGGGGTGACACCAGAACACTGAATTGGGGAATGTGGGGAGTCCCCCCCCCCCACAGGGGAGCATCCTCTGACTCCTCCCCACTAAACTTTCTCCTTTTTCTCTCTCCTTTGCTCCTTTGTGCCCCCTCCCCCTCTTCCCTGGGTTTGGTCTCTTCACGTTCTCACCCTGCCTCCTCACTTTTCTCTGCCCCGTCTCTGTCTTCCTGTCCCTTTCGCTCTGCCTCTCCTTTCTTCCTGTCTCTCCCTGCCTCACTCACCCGCCTCTGTCCCTCTCTTCTGTCTCTCCCTCCTTTGCCTCTCCTAAGCCTCCTAGCCCTCCTTCCCTTCCCAGCATGTGCTGCAGACCAACCACTCCACTTCAGCTCCACAACCCGGGCACTCCAGACTCTGCTCTGAGTAATGTGGGGGTGAGGGAAGGCACCCCTCCAAGGGAGGGAAACTGGAGTGAGCACAGGTGGCACCTACACTCTGAGGTTTGGGACCCTAGGAAGAGCCCCCACCCCAGAACTTTCTCCCCAGCCTAACAAAGAGCTTGCGACTCCACCAATAAAAACCATGCTTGGAGAGGCAGTCACGGAAATGGGAGTCCCTGGCTGACTGCTGGGTGGGGAGGGAGACAGGCATTGACTCTGAACACGAGGGGGTGGGTAGGCACGGCCAGCCTTACCCATTAGGGGCTGGGGAAGGAAATCTGGGCACTTCAGGAGCAGCCACCCCCGCTTCCCACCCGGCGGGCGTGGTGGGTGGGAAGAACGCAGCACCTTGAGCGGGAAGCAGGGCGGCTGCTGCAGGCAGCTGGTCTCGCAGTTGAGACCAGTGACGAAGGAGACTCGGGCGGCCGGCTCGGGGGTGAAGTCGAGGTCGTGGTCCAGCAGCTGGCCCCACTGCATGAACAGGAGCGAGCGCTGTGGGTCCGGGGTCAGCTGCTCCGTGGGGAAGCGCACGATCTCGTTGGAGACTGCGCGAGTCTGCGGGGGGGGGGACAGAGCGTCAGGCAGCGGCTGGGGCCCCGCGTGACTGGGGACCAGCCTGGTGCCCTCCGCCAGCCAGCGCTCACCAGGGGCACAGGAAAGCCGCCGCGCTTGACCCCGGGCGTCCAGCCGTAGGGCAGCGAGAAGCCATCTTCGTACTCTGCCGGCAGCCAGCGCACAAAGGGGCGGTTAGAGGCCCCCAGCGTGGGGCTGCGTCTGCAGGGGAGGACGGCACTGAGCACCGGGTGGCGCCGCGGCCCGACCGTGGACCCCGACGCCTCCCTAGCCGCCCGCACCTGTTGTTGCACTTCCCGGTGATGGTGCGGTACTTGTCCGTCTCGGGGCACGTCATCCTCACATCCTGGTAGGCGCAGCCGCTGGACTTCCAGAGCAGGGTCAGCTGGGACGGCGTCAGCACGTCTGCCGGCCAGGAGGGAGGTGTGGGAGGGAGCTAAAGCCCCCTCCCCGACCCCCGCCATTCCCTAACCTAGGCTGTGTGAGGTTGGGGACCTCAGAGACCCTGCGTGGGGGTCCAGTCTGAGACTCCCCAGAAGGAGGAATTGTGGGCTCAGTGGGAGGTGGCTGGGGTCACTAGCAAGGGTCACTAGCGAGCAGGGGGCTGGGGTAGGAGGAGGCAACAATACCAGTGACATTGAAGGGCCTCGGCCACAGCGGCCGCAGCTTCCCCTCCAGCAGGTTTAGGGCCACGTGCAGATAGTCTGCAGCCCTCACAGCCGTCCTGGTGGCAGCCACTGGCTGCTTGAAGTAGGACAGGAGTTCCATGGGACTGGCCAAGCCGTCACGAAGGCGCTGCTTGATGCTGCTTGGAGAAGGGAGGGGTGAGGGCTGCAGAAGGGTGTGGGTGCACTCAGCAACCCCAGCAGGGGCAGGAGGGGTGGACTCACAGGACAGCACAGACAGACCACAAGTGGGAAGTGAGTTTCTCTTTATAAACAGGGTCTGGGTGTCGAGACAGAGGCAAGACCATGGGAAGGGTGGTTTTGAAGATGTTCTCACACCCAGAAAGACAAGGACTGACAGACAGAGGATCCGCTGATTGAGCTCTAGCCCAGCCTCCCCTCACACACCCTCAGCACCACCCCACAAATTCTGCGTTGCCTGCTCATGCTCCGCAAGGCCCAGGAGCATCCTTCCCAGAGCTGGGCAGTGCCGGCGCCCTCACCTTTCCCGCCGCTCCTTGTAAGCCTTGTCCACTAGCCGTTTGGCCTCCTCCATGCAGGTCATCACCACTGAGGTCTCCACCTCCCTCAGGACAGCTGCCAGAGCAGAGGTCATGAGGTCAGGATGGACCCAAAGTCCCCCATCCAGAGCCCAGAGCCAGGGAGACCTGTGTTGAGGAGGGGAGTCCCTGGGAGTCAGAACCACCCCAACAACAACCTTTTCCCTCCTTTCTGAGCTGTTACCTGGAGCGGCACCCTCACAGGGTGGGGGCATGGCCAGAATGGCCACGAGCCCTGCCAGGGCCAGGAGCAGCTTCATCTCTGCAACAAGACCCCTAGTCCAGTCAGTGCCCCAAGTCCAGGGTGCATTTGGGAGAACAGAACACCACCATCCATCTCCTCCTTCCCTCCTACCTCACCCAGCCCTATCTATGCATGGAGTCCAGGCCTCCTTGAGGGAGGGGTCCACAGTGCCAACCCCCACCAGCTGCAATCACTCAGCCCCAAGGACCCCACCTCCGAAGCTCACCTGGCATTGGCAACACCTCTCCACTGAGTCTGGGCTTTTATGTCCTCTAAGCTGGAAGGAGGGGTGGGGCAGAAGGATGCCCACCCCAGGAGACTGAATTCTCCTCCCCCAAACCCTACGGGGCGGTTCTACTCTGTGACATGGGGTCGCTATGAGTGGAAAATCAACTCAATGGCATTAAACAGCAACAACTGAGGTTAGGGTTCGCAGAGCGGGGCCCATGATGTGGGGGAGGGGCAGGAAAGGAGGGACCAGAGTTGTTCCAGCCCTTGAACTTAGCACCCCCAATCCAGGGTTTCTCAGCTCCCCATTGTGTGCCTAGACCAGTGCTGTGACCAAGAGGTACAGACTGCTAACCCTCCTCCCAAATTCTGGATACACTGAGCCCCCAGTGTTCCTTTGAAAGGGAAAAAAGTCAGCCTAAGGAATGATGGAGAAGGGAGAGGCCTCAAAGGGGAGATCTGGAGTGATAATGACCTGATCAGCCTCAGGGACCATCCCAATAGTAATCTGTCCCAGACCAACCCTGATGGGCAGCCCCCAGTTTTGTCAGGGGCTAAAGGGGCAGGAAATCTGGCCAGAGACCGTTGGGCTTCACAGGAAGGAGGATCCTGAAGGCTAGAGGCTCAGGACCAAGCTAACTTCCTCTATCGTCCCCACTCTCCCCTTTCTTCTTGGCTTTTGGTAGGGGGCTGTCCCCACAGCCCCACCATCTGCTCCTGGATTTCAGGAAACGGGAGAGAGCAGAGCTGGTTGTGGTTGTGGTCAGTTGGGTGACTCAGACCAGGGCCTCTCTGGGACAAGATCAGTGTGATTGGGAGTGTTTGGGTTAAACTTTAGGATCATTCTGAAATAGAAGAAAAAGTCTGAGGAAGTCTGGCAAAGGGGCTTTCGTTCTCAGGCAGGAAAATGGCCCTATGACGTATGACTGTGTTAGTCCACCTTCCTGGGTGCTCAAGAGGCTGGGCACGTGCCAACCATGGCTCCCATGTCCTGTCGTGGTCTAGCCACACCTCCCACCTCTAGCCACCTTCTTGCCACTCCCTCTTACTTCCTTTGCCCAGACTCCACCTTGGCCAAGGAACAAGGGAAATTATATGGGACATCTTCCCAGTGTGCCCAGGGATCCCGTCATCTGCTGGGAAGCGGAGCCCAGCAGCCCACGGGAGAGGAGACTATTCTTTCAGCCTTGCTCTGCCAGTGACTTGCTGTATGTGACCGTGGACAGTGGCTCTTTGTGAATCAGAAGGAGAATTATGACTCTAAGGGGAGATAGTCCAAACAAGGCTTGTCCTACAAGTTACCCTCCAGCTCCCCATCCCGGAGGCGGCCTCTAGAGGGCACTGTTGAAACCACTACATCTCAGAGACTGTAGTCACTTGAAGGACCCTCCACCCCACACATACACACTCTCAAAAACACCACAGCACTCCCTTGTCTCCACTTACCTTTCTCAAACATTCCTACCCCCAGGGTGAAGTCCAACTGCCTGTGGGATAACGGGCCCTCTCTGCTACTGATTGCAAAATAGCTTGTTCTTTCTTAATGCTGTTGAGGACACAGTTCAGTTGGAATTACAGCCAGATTTCCTGTGTGTGTGGTTGGAGAGAAGGAGGTGCCCCTGCAGGCTTTATAGAAGCTGGGGAGGGGTTGGGGCAGTGACTCCTCAGACATGCCAATTGCACTCAGCACGGAGACCTTGTTTTCTCTCACCTTAACATTTTAAAAATTAGTTTTGAATTATACAAGCAATAGCTGGATATATTCTGCATAAGATTAAAATATTACAGATTAGATTAAAATTCCCTTTAGATTAGGTTATAGCACCATCCCCATTTCCATTCCTCTTCTTTCATTCCTTATATATAAGCCCCGTTACCATTTTTTGTGTCCGTCCTTCCAAACCTTTTGCTTTACATTCATTCATATATATGAATCTGTGGGAAATATGTGGTACTCTTTTTCCTTTTTTTTTTTTCCATTAATGGCATCACACAATACACATTGTTCTCCAGTGTGCTTCTTTCACTCAATAGCATATCTTGGAGATCCCCCCAAGTGTTATTTAGAGGACTAACTCATTGCTGGCTAGTTGATTTTGACTCATGGTGACCCCCCAAGTGTTACAGAGTAGAACTGCTCCATAGGATTTTTTTTGGCTATGTCTTTATGGAAGTAGATTGCCAGGCCTTTCTTACATGGCACTGCTGGGTGGGTTCGAACCACCAGCCTTTAGGTTAGTAGTCAAGTGCAAACTGTTTGCATCACCTAGGGACTGTCTTAGAGGACTAGCATACTCTTTTTAAATATTATATAGCATTCCTTGATTGGGCCGTTGGGCTATACATCCATCAGGTGGCCATTCCCCTACTGAAGGACTTTGACTGCACATTGACATTGTCTCCAAATTTTCATTATTTAAAAAAATGCAGCTTATATTTTCAAGTATAAAATAAAGCATATAGCGGTCATAGTTATGGATACTTCCTAGACACAACCAAACACCTCACAGGATTGGTCTACTGGGTTTGAGGGCTCAGGACCATAGTCTTGGGGGGACAACTCAGTCAATTGGCTTAATATAGTCCATAAAGACAATGTTCTACATCCTAATTTGGTGAGTAACATCTGGGATCTGGGATATTAAAAGCTTGCGAGTGGCCATCTTATATACAACTATTGATCTCTATTCATCTGGAGGAAAAGAGAAAGAAGGAAACCAAAGACTCAAAGAATAAACTAGTCTACAGAACCAATAGTCTACACAAAAAATGGTATCACCTACCTTGAGACCAAAAGAACTAGATGATGCCCGGCTACCGCTACGGACCATTCTGACCAGGGACTCAGTAGATGGTCCTGGGTAGAATGGGAGAAAAATGTAGAACAAAACTCAAATTCCTAAAAAAACACCAGACTTACCAGGCCAGTAGAGAGTAGATGAACCCCCGAGACTATTACCCTGAGATATTTTTCAAACTTGAACTTTAACCACTCCCAGAGGTTGCCTTTCAGCCAAATGACACACTGGCACGTAAAATAAATAATATCACCCATGAGAACTGTGCTCCTCAAAATAATCTTCTGTGTGTTATTGTAACTGGACACTTCCAGGTCTGCTCCGCGCAACTGGAAAGACACAAAGCAGTGAAAGCAGAAGAAGAAGCTTTATTTAGTTGGCCAAGTAAAGCAGCCCACCGGGACTTGTGTCCCCAAGGTGGCTCCCTGAACAATGACTCAAGGGGTTTATATGGGTAAAGTAAAAATGGGTCTGGGGTCTTCAAGGACTCCCCAAGGTAGAGTCAGCCTGCTGATTGGTTTGACCCATAAAGGCATTCCTGGGGCTGTCCGATCTTCTGCGCCTGCTCAGACTAAGAGAGAGGCCACAAACATGGCGTTTTGCCCAAGCCCAGGATGTAGACGGGGTTGTGTTTCTCAGCCTCTGACGTCAATAGGTCATCCAAGGGACAGGGTGGTCGGTATTGTGCACGTCAGGCAGGCAAAAGCTGATTCCAGATCAGTTTCGACTGGTCTTGAGACCCCAGCCTCTTGCTTTTCTTAACTGAGCCGGAACTGGAAGTATACCTAAATAAGGAGATATCTTAAAGACAGAGGTTAGTTCCTACATTACCTAATCAGGAGATAGCTTACATGCAAGGAGTTAGTTCTCATGTCACATAGGAATGGCAGGTACCACCCCTTGCTTATTCAAGATGACAGGCATGCTATCGGCCTCATTATGTGTGTGTGTTAGGTGCTGTCACATTGGTTCCAACTCATAGCGACCTTAAGTACAACAGAACAAAACACTGCCGAGTCCTGTGCCATCCTCACAATTGTTGTTATGCTTGAGCCCATCGTTGCAGCCACTGTGTCAGTCCATCTCAGTGAAGATCTTCCTCTTTTTCACTGACCCTCTTCTTCACCAAGCCTGATGTCCTTCTCCAGGGACTGATCCCTCCTGATAACATGTCCAATGCTTCGAAGGAGCACTCTGACTGTACTTCTTCCAAGACAGATTTATTTGTTCTTCTGGTAGTCCACGGTATATTCAATATTCTTCGCCAACACCATAATTCAAAGGCATCAGTTCTTCTTCAGTCTTCCTTATTTATTGTCCAGCTTTCACATGCATATGAAGAGATTGAAAACACCACGCCTTGGGTCAGGTACACCTTAGTCCTTAAAGTGACATCTTTGACCTTAAAGAGCCTTTGCAGCAGATTTGCCCAATGCAGTGCATCATTTGATTTCTTGACTGCTGCCTCCATGGCTGTTGATTGTGGATCCAAGTAAAATGAAATCCTTGACAACTTCAATCTTTTCTCCATTTATCATGATGTTGCTTATTGGTCCAGTTTTGAGGATTTTTGTTTTCTTTATGTTGAGGTGTAATCTATACTGAAGGCCATAGTCTTTCATCTTCATCAGTAAGTGCTTCAAGTCCTCTTCACTTTCAGCAAGCAAGGTTGTGTCATCTGCATATCACAGGTTGTTAATGAGTCTTCCTGTTCTTCTTCATATAGTTAGAATTCTCAAATTATTTGCCTGGCATACAGATTGAATAAGTATGGCAAAAGGATACAACCCTAACACACACCTTTCCTGACTTTAAACCAAGCAATATCCCTTTGTTCTGTTTGAAAGACTGCCTCTTGATCTATGTACAGGTTCCTCATGTGCACAGTTAAGTGTTCTGGAATTCCCATTCTTCAAAATGTTATCCATAGTTCGTCATGATCCACACAGTCAAATGCCTTTGCATAGTCAATAAAACACAGGTAAACATCTTCGTGGTACTCTGCTTTCAGCCAGGATCCATCTGACATTAGCAATGATATCCCTCTTTCCACATCCTCTACTGAATGT